AGCGATGTAAATCAAATCTATATCGGGTCTCCTTAACATTTCATTACAGCATTATTAGAAGATTTAAATTAAATTTGGATATGCCTTTCTTGTGAAACCATTAAATGCAATAAACAGTAAAAGAATCGCATACGGTGGGTATACACGCATAAATCGACGAAGAAAGAACTTTAACCAAAAGTTTATTGACATTTGATATTTTAGCCATATTTTTTTTCGGATATAATAGTTGAAAAAATTATTAGGCTTTTCTTCTAATAAGGATAGCTTTTGAGTCTAAATATTTTATTAATAAACGATTAGCCATAATTATAAAATAATTTCAATCAAATATAATAGTACAGTAAGACATTACAAAGTTATCTGTCAGAGATAAGAGCGGGACGTTCAATAAGTTTTGCTCGCGGTCAACACCACTTTCTAAATGATCTGAATTGGTATTTTTTTTCTCTTCCCTCTTTTCGCGATACTGTTCCCAATCCAATAGCGTCCGAAAAGTAAGTAAAAAAGCGGAAAGTACAAAGAACATGATTACTCCATAAGTTCCCACTTTGTCGAATATTTTAAAAGCCAAACGTTGTTTACCGATATTCTGGGTGTGAGTATAAACGACACCTAAAGCTGCCACACCACGAATACCATCAAGAAATGTAGCGTGAAACATGAGCTTATTTCGATTTTGATTTGAAGTTTGCGGAGACATCATTTTTTATATAGTTAATTTAAGAAAAAAAAATTGCGAATATAATTTAAAGCGAAAGTTTCAGTTTTTAAAGTAATTGAACTCGGTTTATTAATACCAGGAACGTGGCGAAACGAGTAGGAAAATAAGGAAAATATTCATATGATTGGCTGATGTAAATCCGGGTAACTTTTTCATACAGTTTAAAGTACATATGAAACGTAATGTTTCACTAACAAAAAAATCACTGTAAACCCATTTCTAGCGTCTATATTCATTGTGTATAAATAATCAAAAATAATAAGCAACCCAAGTACTTCACTTAGAAGCGAGTATTTTACTATTTATTGCTAGTACTAGTCATATTGACCATATATAAGTTCTAAACGCTGGAAAAGATCAACAAAAAAAGATTGAGACATTCGTTTGGTTAGTGATGTAGTAGAATCATCCCAATGATTGTCGTAACTGGTCGTAACTTGTCCTAACTATAATAAGTAATATAGTAAGTTATGGCTATAATGCCGTAACTTATTTTATTCCCCGATTCTTATTTATACTTCTATATCAGATCTCAGATTCGGATGATCCAGAGTTTTATATTTCTTTTTGATATCTTTTTTTACTCTTTTTAAGTTGCACAAAATTTTAAACTATTAAGGTTAACGTTACTAACGAAAAGTAAAAGTCATCGCTAAAAAAAAGAAAGTAGATGAAAATGAAATTAAGTTTTGTGATTGTAGTAAAGTTAAACTTTATGAAATACGTAACTTTAATTTGAAAAAATAGTATTGAAGTATAATAAGAACCTGAGTTATTGCCCACATATTACTTACTATAGTTAGGGAAATCATTGGGACGATTCTAATGCATTACTAGTTGAGATTCTACGTTAGCGATTGGGGTGTAACCTATCGGTTCCGAATCACATAGGGTTAGGGTTAAGCATTTGATTAGTTGCAAATAATATATTTTTACTAAATTTCACCTGGCATCGGTGAAGTGATTGTCGGTGAAATTATACGGACCCGTAACCTATCGATCAATTTACAAACATATATAGTGATGATCACTAATAAATTTTTTTAATAATTAAATTTTGGATCTGCGTTTCATATTAAATTAATATTTACCATTTTTAAATTTTTAACAAAAGTAAAATGTTTAATAAAAAGTGTCTTGATAAATAATAACGTTAGATTTTTTATCTCACTAATTGAAATATGTTACGGTTTACCGGAGCGTCTGATACTATACGATTTACTGCTGGGTTTTCTTATAAATTTAAAGAGCACATTAAGAGAGCTTCGGCAAATATAATTTTATTTGTATATGTTTATTGGTCCAAAAGTTATTAAAGATTGAAGCTTTATAAAAACCCGGCCAACGATTTACAATGTGGACCGTATTATGTTTGTAAATCGTGTAATAGCAGACACCCAGATAAACCGTGACATATTTCAATTATTGATAAATTCTAACGTTATTACCTTATAAAGGCACTTTTCATTAAACATTTTACTTTTATCAGAATTTAAAAATGGTAAATATGACGGGAGAAATTAAAGGCGAAGTAAAATCGATCCTTAAAAATTTAATTATACTGTAAAAAAAAATTTATTACGTGGTGATCATCACTATATCATCTGCACTATTTTTTAAATTGACCGATAGGATACGTACACCACTTGTACACCCCAGTCAGCGATGTAAATCAAATCTATATCGGGTCTCCTTAACATTTCATTACAGCATTATTAGAAGATTTAAATTAAATTTGATATCATATAATTAAATATAACAATATCCCAAACTTCTTTTAGATACGGAGGTCGAATTTCTTCTAATCGTTTCTTACGCAATACATTTAAAAGTTGAAGCGTTTTTTTATATGGTTATAAACAATTGGTTCCAAATTCTTTGTTTCGATTTTTCAGCGTTAAACAGCGTTAAAATTTTCAATTTAAACCGAATTGTTTTATTTATTTATTTATTTATTTAAATATAAAAAATTACTTCGTAACTTTTCTCGTAGATACTTAATATTAATTCTTCCAAAATATTACTTTGAATTATGGTACAGTTAGAGCTGGGAATCTATTTTTGTTATATACTTAACAATGGGTATATACAAATCATATAAGCATCGATTTTGACTAATACCACTATTTACATATTTGACGTGGCAAAATTAAATTTTACTCGAAAAAAACTTTATAACAAATTTTTATGATACCACATACAGGTTTGATTTATGAAATCTGATTGGTCGAATTTAATTTTTATAGTAGCGTGAGTAATTTATTTAGCACATTATTATCGAGATTATGCATTCATATTGTTAACCGGTTTAAACAAAAAAATTCTAATGTCATGTGATGTTAACACTAAAATTATAACGTTCAGATTAAAATCTGATGGCACAATATGCGTTACAATGCACCAAGCCATCAATAATTTATAGTTATTGGATAGGGTTTCAAAAATATGAACGTGGGTGTTAAACGGTGGAAGATGATTGGAGCAGATTATGCCGCGCAGCGGCATGATTGCGCCAATCATCTTCCACCGTTTAACACCCACGTGCATATTTTTAACCCTATCCAATAACGGTATTATTGTGAAGCAGTTATTGACGACTATACTATTTTTTTTATTTGTATAGTTTATGTCATCAAACTAAACTTTTTTCTTACATCCCTCCTTTTTTTTTAACATGAGACTGTCGTTAAAATTTAAGCCATAAAAAAAAAAGATGTAAAAACAGTAATGACGTAAACTATACAAATTTGAGAATTTTTAGTGCAGTTGTCAATAACATGGCTGCACAATAATATATTTTAATTTATTTTAATAGCTTTAATTTTTTTCTAAAATAACTGTAATTCCTATAATAGCATTATAAAATTCTGCAAAATGCTTTTATCGTTTGGTACGATCTGTAGGAATTTTACAAAATATTAGAATCCTAATGAGATTATTTATAATTGGCTAGTAAAAGTTCAGTAAAAAACTATTTTTACAATTTGATATAAAAAAATGATTTATTATGCTTTTATCACCCTATAATACCACTGAGTTTTGCTAAATCTAGAATATTTTGGTGCTTTCGAAAAAATGACCGATTTTAGCAAAGAAACTAATAATCAAGTAACTTTGAACGATTAGTAAAATTCGGATTATTCGTTTACCTAGCTATAATATTTATAATCGCATTTTGAATAACAATTTTATTTGTTTACTCTTTGGAAGCGATGTTGGTTGGCTTTAATATTTATAAGGATCATGATTGATCTTAACTTCTATTACGCTATTTTTAATTGTCACGGCTAACATAGCGCTTTTACGCATAAATTCTTGACCAAACATCAACACCAAGAACGAAGTGATGAAATCGCGAATCAAATTGTCTGCCGAAGAAGAAATGTCATGCATTGGAAAAATATTAAATCCAATTGGTCAGCATGATCATATACGTCATATATTGCCTACCGCATTTTTTAAATGTATATATATTCTTGTACTGGACACGAAGCAGATTATAAAGCTATGCGCACACATATTAGTTCACTTTAAAAAACATACTAGCCATTATAAGAAGAAATTTGTTTGATTGTCTAGCGTAAATCAATTGCCCGGGTAACTTATACATTTTAATTACTTTTTAAGAACGCAGCACTTCACAAACCAAAAATCACTACATACGCTGATTACACCTTTAACATAGTGTTGACGTTCACTATGCAAAAGAATCAAACAAGATCAATCTCCCAAAGAACTTTGTTCAGAAGATAAAATATGCATACCGCTTATTGGATTAGACTAAATTATACTATGAATTGAGGTAAGGATACGTATCACTTCACCGACACTCATTTCGTAGACATAACATTTCACCGACAAAAATTCACCGATATGTTTATTTCACCGACAATATTTTGCCGACAAGTTTATTTCACCGACAATTTCACCGAAGCTCATTTCATAGACAAATTTTTTTTATAAATTCCACTAACATTGACTCTAATTCTAGCCTGACCCTAACGACAATGACCAGAATTATTTTGTCAGCGAAATGAGTTTCGGTGAAATAAACTGTCGGTGAAATGGAAAATAAATGTCGGCGAAATAACAAATCGGTGAATTGTTGTTGGTGAAATGTTATGTCTACGAAGTAAGCGTCGGTGAGGTGAGCTGAACCGTGAGGGGGATTGGGAACGTTTTGTTCAAGACTACTTTATTACGTTAGATTTAAACATTTATTATTAACTATTTAATTAGATAGAAATAAGTTTATAATAGAAGAATGTCCGGGTTTAATACATTCTTGCAATGTGTTTGGTTTGTCAATCGTAATACGAGATTGTGTATTACATTAATAAGTTTGGGTTTATTAATAATAAATACCACCTTCACCCATTTTATGTGTATCTGCTTATCTTTTAGCATATACGAGATTAATTGATTCTTTTGTACTATGTTTATTAATTTATAGATTCCACTACGTATGGTAATTTATGATACGAGTTAAACAGCTTATACTTACTTTTCTAACAAGCAATGATATTTATTTTCATAAAATTTCCTGATCGCCCACCTTTTTCTAACAATATCGTGTTAATACTTTACTTACTACAATACTCTAATACACTTTTGAGAACAGCTAGCAATTCTTGAATTCATACTCAGCTCTCTGATTATGATTCAGTTTTTGACTTCTGATTAGAATCAATTATAAAATACTATTTTCCATTTTCATAAGAATCTATCCGAATACTATCTTTTTCATCAATTTGTATTATGCTGTAATTATTACATTAACTTATCAAAAAGATATATCAAAATATTAGCGTCGTGATTGCAACTTCAGTTGAGTGTCAACTTAGTCACAAAATTAGCACTGAAGTTAATCCCGTTCCTGATTTTATCGTGACTGCATCGTGCCGCTACCTAATGAATAAATTTACCCAAATCGATTTGAGAAATTGATCAAAAAATAATAATTATAATAAATAATTAAAATTTCATTTTTTGAAAAATTATTGTGAGGATTATGGTGAAATTGGATTATGCTGAAACTTGGGTCTAAATTTAAACCAATAAATACCTACTAAAATCCACATATATTCTTTTATTAATAATACTACTCCAGTCCTAACCTAACTATAAAAAAGTCCACAAAAAGGCTTTAAATTTTTTTTACAATTTTATAATAAAATAAGGCAAAATTTCAGCAAAATCCACCACATTTATTAGTTAATTTTTAAACCTAAAATTTATTTTTTTGCAAATGATTCGACTTTGGAGAGGTCAACATTAATTTTGATGACATTGAATCTTGTACTATTCTGATGCAAAATTCTTGGGACCCATTTTTAGGATTAGAACTAGGATTTAAGATCGGAATTATTGCTGTATTAATAAAAAGGCACAGTATAAGTTTATTTGGTATGTTAAACTGTTTAACTACATTGAAAATCCAATATAAATTTAATATATCAAACTACTAGAACTAGTTCAGTTTATATATAGTAAAATCTAACCGGTTTAACATCTTTAGGTATAAAGATTCATATGATAACCTCACGGTCAGTACCAGCCATTAGTGCATAATAGGAATAATAATACTTGAATCTATTAACTTGAATCTATTAACTTGAATATATTAACTTGAATCTATTAACTTGAATCTATTAACTTGAATCTATTAACTTGAATCTATTAACTTGAATCTATTAACATGTATGACAACATAAAAAACTACGGAAAAGATTTGCATTAATCTAAATATAAAAAAATGATCAAACTTAATCTTATCAATCAAATTTCTACTAGCAAATCACAACTTAATTACTTGTCAAATCAAATTGTTGGTAATACATGCATAAATCCTTAGCAAAGTTGGCTATAAGTAGAAGGTCTGACTGTTTGATAGTCTTAATAGTTCCTACGCTTCAACACTATAACGATAAAATATAAATAGATGTCATTTGAACATATTTATTATAAATAGAATAAATAAAGCCCATATATGCAATTTCTATTTGATCAATGATTATCCTTTGGTAAGTATTCATTATCCGGCAAACAGTGATGAAAGAATTCCTCATTATTATTTCATTGCAGTTTATGATAGAATTTTCTTTCATCATACTGCTAGATAACAAGAAACAATCTAACCTTTATTAGAGTATTTTACAACATGCATTGACTATTATATTGGCATCTTATTGAATTATCATAAGGTTCGAAGATCAAAAAACTTACCGATTCGAAAATAACTTTGATACCTATAATATCTAATACAGTTTATAGCATGTCATTGGTGAAATTGCATAATGTACATTTATTGCGTAACTCGTTTATGCATAGCTCGGATATTTTAAGATGATATCTTTGTTTCAATATTTTTAAACAATTAAAAATCTGTATATTGCCAAATGACTTGTTTTAATTTTTGCCATGTGTAACACTGATGTAAAATAACATTTGCCTTTAGGAATTACTAGAAGACGCCTAGTTATGTATTTATTATCACTAATACTATAATAGAAATTTGTATTTCATTTTCACTAAGTTTGAGTTTATTTTTATTTTTTTACTATACTAATGAGTAACGGAGCACATGAATGTGAAGTGACTCTGTTTTAGTAAACTTGAATGCAAGTTCATGCAATATTAGCCAGATACAACCAATAAAATTGAGATATCAGTTAGTGTAACAATACTTAATTTGCTTCGGATTATCATCAGATCCTGATTTCCTAATCATACGTATTACACAAACGAGTACGTACGTACGTATCTGGTATATGATGTATTCTGACCGTTACGCTCCTGACAATAAAATTGTCTGTCTAATAACTATATATTGTTTTTAAATTTAAATATTAAACTTTTGAATTCAATTCAGATAAAAAATTTTATCAAATTTAAATCAAATAATTGTTAAGAAACCGTATCTTCTTTCAAAATTCTGCAAGAAAAATTCAATACTGATGGATATTTTTAGTATTTTTAGTACAAAATAAAGATTTGTATGGGATATAATCACAACTTTCTAAAAAAATTATCATCAAAACTAAACGTTGAAAATGCGTCTTCCTTTTATAGAAATTATTTACATCTTGATATCACTGAAACAAACATTAACGTATCATTAAAACACAAAACATATCACATTGTGTACCTATAGTATACAGATAACTGTCCAAAATATATAAATAGAAAACAAGTTCAATCACTACCGATTAACGGGGTGCATTTGAGATGTCAATCCAGGCACACTACCAGACTTTTGTTTATATCTTTTTGATTGTATTGATTATTTTTCCTATCGATGCGAATACGCAGGATTATAATTTTACGTATAATGAGAGTAATGTTACCGGGAAAATTTTAGTTAAATCTATTGATTCTCTTTCTGATGGAACAATCATTGTCCGTATCATGAGAGAAATGGATAAAAACAATCAAAAAATATATTATGATCCAATTTTATCATTGCGCGTTATTCATCCTAATGGAAGTGTGACTGAAATAAATAAAGATGGGATACCTGATTATAATTTTCATTATCCTATTTATCTTAAAGAAAATAATGGATACAAATCTGATGATAAATTCAATCCACTGGACTTTTATCCACTATATGATAAATATATTCTGGTAGTATATTCAACTGCCAGTGATTGGACTGATAATGAGACATTTGTAGATCGGGGAATGATTATTGATTGGAATGGAAATAAAATTAGGTAATTTAATTTTATCTTTTTCCCGGATAGATACAATAATGGTGATATCATGTTTTCATTATAGTGAAATAGAATTCGGGAAATCTTATATTGATCACGATCCAAAAGGTTCATTGATGCCAAATCAAGCTATGTTTGCTGTGAATTCTGATCGAACCAAAGGGTTTTTGCGCTTTTCTCAATTAAGAAAATCGAGTGATGCTGAGTGGAAACAATACTCTGTGTATGTTGCTTTGTTCTTAAAACAAGTTCTTAGCATCAAATAAA